CTTTCAATTTTTCTTTTGCAAAGCCCTTTCTTGGATGGCAGAAGTATGCTTCTCTGAATTTGTCCATTTTTCGAAACTTTTTTTTGTCGCCGTGGAATGTGTCAGAAACAGCTGAAAACGGCATTGTTCTGCAATATAACGGACTGATTAATCCAAGTTTGCTACATACTTCAAGTTTTAACGTGGTATCTTTTCTTGAGATTTTCGAATTTTGTCATAACTCTCTTTGTATGCTGCGTTTGTTATATTAATTGGAAGCTCGTTATGTGAGTTCTTAGCAGAAAGTTAAAGGAGGTTAGTTCAGATTTGGCGTAAATTCATGCCTCTGAAAGATGCCGTGTTCAGTGTTCGAGAATTTGCTGGTCATTCCTTGAAATTCTCGATAGAAAACTCTTTAGCGTATGATACCCGTGACTATAGACTGTTGCCGTCAGCAGGTGTTTATTGTCGTCTCACTCAGGAACTGGCAGGGCTGCTTGGAGATGCCAGTTTTGCGAAACAAACGGTGGACCTGCAGGTTTCGTTACAGTATTGTTTTGCTGTTTTTAATTGGTTGTGGTTTTTTGCCGTTTGTAAACTTCCCACAACGTCCTATCTTGTCTGCAACAGCAGTGCTTTCTGATTTATGAATAATTTTTAGTTTGCTAATCCATTACGGTTTGGTGCCTTTGTTGGTGGATCACTACAAGCGTCTTTAATTTCTTCTTTATCAAATCAACCAATACATCTTCTCGACAGGTTATATTTGGGGGGACCATTAAACTTGCGCGGTTTTAGTTGGAATTCTATGGGTGCTAAAGCTGGCACTTCGAGCTTGGGTGGTTTTGCGTCTTGTGCAGCTGCTCTCCACATTTATATGTAATTTTAATAATCGTATTGTATTCTTTTCTTGTTTATCTATTACAGATTTGCTTTTTACGATTGCTTTGAAAATGCCTGTTGATTTTAACTTATTGGTGAGATTTCTAGGCCACTGATACCTGCTGACTTATTGTTCGCTCATTGTTTTATGGTCGGTGGATCTGTAATACCATCTAAGTCCCCAAATGTATTTGAAGCACTCGTTAGCGAAAGGAGGGTTTCGGCAGGCATTGGAGTAACATTTGTATTTCGAGACATGGTACGGCTGGAGCTGAACTATGTTTGGCCGCTACGCTCTCATACAAGTGACTCTTGCAATTTTGGCTTTCAATTTGGAGCAGGAATCAATTTCTTGTAGAAGTTCCTGTTTTTACGCACAATTATTGGTTAGGTTGTAGGAATACAGTAGATTTTTTATGTACAAAAATTAAGATGGAAGCCCGTTTTTTATCTGCAAAAACAGTTTCTTCACTGGAATCTTTCATATTTCTGTCATGGTTACATGATTACTATGTTAATGAACTAATTTTTTTCTTTTGCACGTTTATAGAATCTGTTTGATGGTCACACTGTTCATCTGAATTTTTACAAAAATGTTCTCAAAGTGGTTGCTCGGAATCAATTTTTTGTTAGTTACAACTGCATCTGTTTTGAGTGATAATTTTCATTTGAAATCTAGGAGGCGGAATCGCTTAAAACTTGAGCGAAAAGTAAAAGTTCTTTTTATGTGGCAGCGATATATGTTATCTGACTGCGTTTGAATCAAGTAGGAGTTTCTCAAAGTAATTAGCATAATTCGTTTGCTGGTTTAAATTTAACTGATTTTTATTTCTTATATTGTTTTTGAAGTGCGGATCTGATGTTATATAACAGTATGATAAAAAAGCCAGTTTTGTGACTGATTTAGGTAGGTATTGATGAATTTTCCTAACATTTAGAAAAACTACTGGGCTTTATACAATTCTCCAATCCTACTGCTCTTGGGTTTGTAACGAATCTGTGTCTCATGTTATTTTTCTCTATGGTTTTAATAGTTATAGTAAACTAATGAATGAATTTTATCGTATCTTTCAGTAAGCAAAAAACTGTTTATATCAATTACTGTTCAGGATAACGTTAAAGCAGATTATAGCAGGAGGGAAACACATTTGTATTACTTTAATTCTGTCCATCTAGGACTGTTCTGAATGATCATCTTTTACTGAAGAAAATTTGGTTTCAACTTTCTATAATTTGCTTCATAACTTCTCACAGGTTAAAATGTTTAACAGCGACAGCACAGATGCGAGAATTTGTTCTATTTTGCTTCGTTTAACTGCTGCTATTTTTCTTTTCAATTATTCATATTAGATCTGGTGAAAGAATCATTGTTCTGGGACTTGGACTGCTCAACGGCAACTGTGTAGACTGCTTGACATATGAGTCTTCTGGAATGTGGGAGCATTTAGGCAGTAGTGGTAGAATTAGAGGGGAAGTGAAGGGACTTTTTTTGAGCTTTTTAAAGGTTTTTGCATTTGTATTTGGTATAGCTGCCTCAGATCATTAATAAATTAGTCTTTGGGTGACAGGTGGGCGATAAGTACCATATGAATACTGAACGAGAGTTCCAGACGCTTGATTTTTATAAGGGAACAAACCGAAAAGTTTGGTTGCAGGAAGGTGTCAGTCTGTACCTTAGGGACTGAAACTTTATAATACAGGTGCACCTATGAAATTGATACGATACCGACCATTAATAGTTAGAAAAGTTTCTGATCAAGATTTCAAATTTTTACTTCTTCATTTTCTTTCTTTCTCACTGAAAAATCGCTCAGATAACAGCTAGAGGGAGAAAGCATGTGAAAGTCTGGAATTTGTCAGGAGTATTGTTTTTTTTTTTTTTGAAATAGTATTTATTTTGCCATGGTTTATAAATCGCTTTTGGCTGCTGTGAAGTATAGGAACCATCTAGGTTCTACGTACCGAAAAGCTTCCCTCAAACTTTTTGAGCTTACCGAAACAGATATATGCATCCGTTTACAATTAATTTCAAAAAAACATTTTTTAAAAGGTACAAGAGTTACTTTTTTCTGCAAAACTTGTCTCGCTCTCTCTTGAGGACGGCGTCGATAGCGAGGAATTGCCAACAGCCTTAGATCTGAAAAAGGAAGCAGCTTTTATAGTGTCTACGTTGGCACCTTGCTTACTTTAGATGGAATTGTTGTTTTGAATTACAAAACTTGTGTTGTAGCATCGTAGAGTTTTAGCCAATATGATCAACTGAGCTTATAGTTATTGTTTTCTTTAGAGCTCAGTAAGGAATAAGACACTTTTTTTTTTAAAGTTGCTTGGTTTGAGCTAGTAAATATTTCATTTCTGCGTTTTTGATAAGTTACGTTTAGAATAGCATAAAGGATCAATTAATTAATCACCAATTATTGAAGAGTGCACAGTTGAGGTTTTTCTCATGATTTAATGGCAACTAAACCACTGTCATGTTAATTTAACAACTTTTTGCGCAGCAAACTTGTTTAAGGTCAGGTTAAGGGTGGAAAGAGATCAAGCGATGAGTCGACTAGCGTTTTGAGGAAATTTACTTGAAAATTGCGATCAGTTATCGGTATTCTCTTACGGGTTACTTTTGATTATTAGCTGAGTATTTGATTGAGTAAAAAATCATTTTCATCAAAATTAGTCTCTGGGAATCAGTAAATTGCCAATTAGGAAAGTCTGAAAAGGTTCCGGATTTTAGAGGTAAGTTGAGCAAGGAATTCTGGATTCTTAAATGAGTCAAGTGATAAGTAAGTGCAAAGTTTCTTGTTTGACTTTATATCTTCAGCTATGCTGGCTTATTTCGTCAGGCCTATCAATAAGCAATTCACCTATGAGTTAAAAAATTTCATTCAAGTCAGCATATTTGCCGATAAAAGATACTAAGTACTTTAAGGAAGAAAACTCCAAGAATTGTATTTTTATGACCGTTTACCATCAGCTTACCTGATTTGATCAACAGCCTCTAAGCTCCGTTTTTATTTCTAGAGGCTTGCTCTTTTACAAAAATCTTCAAAAGGTCAGTGGTGGTCAGAAATCTCCATGGACAATATTCTCTATTGTTATATCTGTACTTTCACAAGATATTTTTACCAATTTTCCATTCAAAAAATACAGTTGAGACAGTAGGGAAAAATTTTTTTACTGTTGAATGCAACTGCAAAATTAATAGGCATTTCTTTGACATTTTGGTACTCAAATGAACTGGCGGAGTTTTGCCGCTCTTTGAGATTTTGATGCACTATTTTGTTTGTAAAATGTGGATGGTTTTATAGCCAACTGATATCATTGGTCAAATGAGCAGCGCTGTAGTATCCTACTGAATTTTTATTGTAAAAATTACGCGATGACGGCCGAACTTGTGAAAACATAGGTTTAAGTGCTTTGATGAAGCGCATTTAGAGTGCAAATCCCATCTTTTTTCACAGACTCTGTTTACTGTTCATCATCGACAAGCATGCGCAAATACATTTATATATACAAATCTGAGTGTAGGAAACTTTCGCGTGGAACTCTTCCGTTTGTCGTCACATTGAAGACAAGGCTTTGAATTGAAAAACTTGGCATTATTTACAGATCGTGGTTATTAAAAAAAGTCCATGGACAATTCTGTGGTTTTTGGTTAGTTTTGTTTGAAAAGTAGTTTTGAAACAGTGCACCTTTCTAAAATACAGAAATTTAACCGTGTTCTCCCACTTTTTCCTTTACTCTTGCTGGTTTCTTCTTTATCTATTCGAGCATTACCTCACTCTTCGAACCTTATGGACACCAACGAACA